CACACACACACACACACACACACACACACACACACACACACGAAAGAGACAGGCCTATTTTGGTGAATATTTGAAGCCAGGGTTTCAAAGTCCTATAAGTCCATACTAAACTCTTTAACTCAAGATGCCAGTTTACGGCTTTTTTTTTTTTAATTAGACTTCTCATTGTAAGCAGATAATTATGTCTGTGTTTTTTGTTTTTGGTTTAAGTAAGTTGGGTCTTCTAGGAAAAAAATATTTTAGATTTGCTTTAAGGTTGGCCACATTCATTGTCTCACCCTTCCTAAATCCCCTGAGGAATTTTGAGGACTTGAATGGAAAAAAGTTCCTTTTATTTCTCCAAGTATCAAAGACTTTAAAGAGAATACAGTTGCTTCTCCTTCAGATGAATAACTTGTCCTCTCTCCTAACAATGTAAGATTCTGTTGAACAGTGGTGGTTGGGAAACACCTGTGTTCATATGAAATGTCAGGTGCTTATTCCTGAAGTCGTTTCTTTCATGTGGCCAAAGAATTTGGGCCTCTTGTTGCAATTAATGCTCACATTTCCCGCCTTCTAGCCTTCACACGCCCGTTTCTTTCTCTTTCCCCTCTACCCCATCACATTTAACCATTTATCTCATCGATAAATTATCTCTCAGGAAGAAGATAGGCAAGCCACTTTTTCTGTAGTCCACATAATTCTGAAGCCAGTGAAGATCTGAATGTTCGTTGGGAAAATGAATCCACTTTTCTCCTCTCTCTATCCTTGAACGGCAATGAGTTCTTCCCTTGGTATACCTGATGTTGTGTAGGCAAAAGTCTCAAATGTTTATTTTAAAGAAATCTCTGGGGATCACAAGGAGTGATGTCTTACTTCCGCTTTAGGCATACGAGCCCATATTTGAACATGCTGTACAGGTATTCCTAGAAAGGATGACTAGAAAAGAGCACAAATGAGATGACATGTTGCCACTATTATTGTCATTATTATGTTTTTATTTTTCGTTCATAGCTTTCCAAATGGGAATGAATAATTTAATTCTTAAGGAATAATTCTTTTCCATCCCAACAGGCATCATCTGTTTCTCTGAACGAAGCAGCCAAGATAAGAACTATTGAGAACCCCAGCTTATCAGATAAATCCATTTTAAGTTCAACACATGAAGTGTATATGTTCCATATAATAGAACACACTGCCTCATTATCCCTTCTCATAGAAAGGAAGTAGTGAATGTGTGCATGCTAAACTGAACTTCAGTGCACCTGCTCCAAGAGCTCATGTCTTGGATATAAAAAAAAAAGTGTTCCATATCTTTGCAAATGAATCTATTTAATCAAATATTAAGTTTTATTCAAATTGCCAAAGAAACAGCCAGCCAATTGCTTTTCTTCGCGATGTTCCTTGTCATTCATCCTCTTTGCATCTCAAGAAAAATAGCCTTGTGTAGGCCTCAAACATTTGCATGCACCCAATTAAAGCACAAGAGAAGGATTATCAGCCCTTAAGACGTGCAGGTGAAGAAACGGAGCCTGTTCTCTGTGACAGCCTGCTTTCCCTACTCAGCGTTTAGGGAGAATGTTCAAAATACTTGAGGAAGTTTAGAAAGGAACATTGTTTAGTGAGTTGAAACTAAAGTCCAACAGGGAAACATGGATTAAAAAAAAAAAAAGGATTTCTAAAATGTGAAATAATCCATAAAAGTTGATCTTTTACATTTTTTAGAAGTCTTGTGGGGCCATAGGAATTCTTTTAGCTACATTAGCTATAGGGAAACATGTATATAAAAGACTGAATGATTCTGGGTTCCTACTCCCCACCCCCATTATGAAGTATGTAATTTTTCTTTTTAATTTCCATTAAACTACACATTGCATAAGTTCCGTTGAATTTCTTAGTGGAGTGACAACTTGCTCTCTCCCTTTCACGAAATGAGGGAGTTTACATCTTTTCTCTCCCCACGTAAGGTTTCTTAGGGGGCAAGTCTCTTAGAAACATAGTAAATCCGAGCCTAAGGAGAAAGCTAAAATTCTCTGGGTTCAAAGTGGTTTCGAAACTGTAAGTAAGCAGTCCCAATCCATTTGGTTAGAAATGCAGCTTGCAGAATCGTTAGCCACAATTCAGAGTTCAGCTGGAAAAAAAGAATTTTCTGCCTCCAACCTTCACAACCTATTATTCTCCCATTTGCCTTTTTGCTGCCTCCGCTGCTCCCGCTGCCGCCTGCTTAGGTAAGGTTATGTTGTGCTTGGTAAACAGACAACACTTCGATTCTCAGGTTGTTTGAACACCGCTTTAGGTTCAGCTGTAGTACTCTACTTCTCTGATCTTTTATATTCCCGAGCAGATGTCTTTCATTAATTTATGGATTTATCATCTTTTTTCCCCCCCTTTTTCTTTTTCTTTCTTTCTTTTCTTTTTTTTTTTTTTTTTACACCTGGCAGCTGTCTCAAGTTTCAGTAGTTATTGTCTATTTTGCATTACACATAGAATTGAATGTCATCTGTCTTCACAAAGCTATGGCTAAGAGAATTGAGGCAAAGCCACATGAGCTGCCTGGACAGATCTTGTTTGCGTTCCATCCCCCCTCACCCACCCCCCCTTACCTCCTTAATATTTATTTGTGCTCATTTTCTTTCCTGGCCTTGAATGGAGCTTAGCTCGTGTTCAGTACAGCTGTATGTTTACTGAATCTATTCCATCATGAGTCATTGTGCGTGTGTAAGTATCCTGGAAACAGCTAGTGCTTTCTTGGAAGAACAGTTGCTTTTCAGCACAAGCACTTAAAAGGGAAATTAACCAATTGGTCAGTTCAGATTTATTTTGAGGAGGAAAAAAAAGGATTATCTAACTGTTGGCTTTTAAATGTTTCATTAGCTATTTTTAATAGTTTATTAGAAACATATATTTTATGGGAATTTTATCTCAATTACACGATGAGCAAGAGATAAAGATTTATTCTGTGTTCCATTTTGACTGATCAATTCCAAGTATTACCAACAGGAAACATTTTAAAGCAAAAACAGACTTGAGAAATTCGAATCGAAATCATTTTTTTTTCATGAAATAAAAAGTCCCTAAGTCCCCATCAAAAAACAAGATGGACAGTTTGCTTTGTCTTTTAAATAAAAAGAACTAAACCATCTTAGCATAATTTAAATGTATTGAAAGCTTCAGGAAGTTTTGGTGGCTCTATAACCATCTGAGAGCCACCGCAAAACAATTTGTTTTGTATGAGACCAACATTTAAAAAATTTGGGACTTTTTCCCTCTAATAATTAAATACTCCAGGTTGTTTTAATGTAGCCATCTGAAAAAAAAAAAAGATTAGAACCCAGATCTGAGAAGGTTTGTCGAAGTTTGGACTTGCCTAAAACTCTTATCACGAGGCAATAGCAGACAGCTTGCAACTATTACTTCACTTATCCTTTTGGACAGATGGTCCTGAAGTGTGCTGTGCTCCTTTAGTTTTCTCTATCTGTCTAATGGAGGTTACTGGAGGGCCTTTCAGCTCTTTCCTTGGCACAAAAAGTATGTCAGTCATAAATTATCGTCTTTGTAATCATCTCAAACAAAAACACAAGTTCAGTTAAGCTGCTTTGGTTTACAGATATAAAATCAAAATTTCTTTCTTCAGTGTTTATTTCCAGTGGGGGTGGGGGTGGGGGGGTGGGAAACAACAATATTTAACTCTTCTATTTACAAACCAAGGTGATCTTTTCACAATTTGCTTGCTATGAAGGGAAATGCTCATCACCGTGTCAGCAGAATAGTTGGTTAAACGCCCTGTTATAAGAAGTTTATCGGTATGAAGAGCTTATCAATATTCATTTGCTTATGCATCTCGAATAACTTTCTGGTTTCCTTCTGTTCCTAAGATGGGTCATGCTGTACTCGATGGAGCTCATTTGGAAACCTTTACCTTTCCTAAATACCTGTGTTTATTTGCTCTTTTTTTCATAAGGTGTGAAATTTTTGTTGGGTAGTAAACTGTGTGTGTGTGTGAGTGTGTGTGTGTGTATGTGTGTGTGCGCACGCACACGCACACGCACATGCATGCACGTACACGCGCGCGCACACACACA